ATTACAAGACGTATGAATAACAAGCGTGTTATTAAACGTAAGAAACAAAGAAAGCCCATAGCTCTTGACTAGTTAATGATAACGTTAGCCTCACGTCTCCGCCACTTTCCCCAGTCGTCCCCAGTTAATCTCCTGGCCGTATAATTATATATAACAACTGTTTTTTTACAAGCTACAAATGCCACGCGTATATCATACGATATCAGATACATTTTATTTGTAATGACCATTTATTGAAGGCGTTCCCGCTTTAAAATTTATGTTTACTACGACTTTAAAAGTAGCTATGATCACGGTTTGACTTTTGTTGACTTTTTATATGGTTAAAAACTATAAATTGTCTAGCACCCACTATTGTAAGTTTCTGCTAGACCGCGCAACTTATTTGAATTTTTCTTTTACCAAAAAAATTTACTTCGCAAAAAAGTTAAACTAGAATAAAAAGTTATTATTTTAACTTTAATTGAAGCCTTTAAACTTTTTTGTTTTATACAAACTGGATATTTTAAAGAAAAAAAATTACCATTTAAATATAACAGATTTATTTCAAATTAAGAACCATTAGTTAAATAAAAGTGCTCCAGGAAAAACAATAAAGAAAAAATGAATTATAAACTTACAACGCATAAAGGATCCGTTCAGGAGCTCGAGGCATCCACAACACAATAACAAACACTTCAAATATTATATTGTTAACTGATCACAGCACGTAAACTTATATTGTGAGGACGCGCACGTGCGTCCCTGTGTGTGGTCGGGGGCTCACTGTTGACTGACGGCTCACGACTCACGGCGGCCGGCGGACCAAGAACCACCGCAGACAGCCGCGGCACAAACTATAAAGCCAGCGAAACAAAAACACTTTCCGGTAGGATTTTTATAAATTTGAATTGACTTCCTGACGTTAGTCTACGTAAATATATTTACGAACAATTGTTGAGAACCTCTCGATCCTATATCTCTGGAAGGAGAGTATTCCATAATATTTAATATGCTATAGTAAAAGTATTAAATACTTTTTAATTATCTACTTTGTCTACATTGACACTATATCAAGAGTCCTGTAAGTATTCCTAAAGCTTACTTGTAAGACTATTTTTTTTCTCATATATTGCTATTTCATTTATATTTGCCGGGCATTATGTAAACTTATTAATTATGAAACTCTTTTGTACGTTGAAGTATAAATATTTAAAGTGACTTTCAACAATTTGAGGAGTCTCGAGCTTCTACTGACTAAAGGCACGGTTGCTTACATTACGTAGGTACTTTTATATCAACTTGTGATTCGTGTATTAGGTATTTTTTGCGGACCAAAGCTATGACTGTAAAATATCATGGAATGCGACAAACAAACAAAAAATACAACACAAAAAATAACATTAGAGAGCACGGGCCGTGAAATTAAAACACGAAGGATAAGACTGTGATGTACGGGTTAGATACTGATATGGAAATTAAGTATAAAAAAAACTCGACTTAAAAATATCGAAGTCTTAAGTAATTTAAGGCATCCCGCATCCACGACACAAGCTTGCTTAGTGTGGACGCCCCTGAAAATCGCGCGAAAGGTTTAAAATGGCATGTTCTATATTTTGTGCAATTTTCTGTTTGTTGATAATAAACTTTGTAAACTTTGTAAATAAATAAATAAAAAGTAAAGTCAGTGGTGGCTTAATGGTTAAGGGCCCGCCTCTCGTGCATGAGGGCGCGGGTTAAATGCTGGCAAGTATCAATGTGATTTTTCCGAGTCATATATACTTTCTGAGAGTATTTAAACACCACTGACAGACGGTGAAGGAAAACATCGTGAGGAAACCTGAATTTATAATTTCACAATTATAGGTTTGAAATCACCAACCCGTCTTCAGCAAGAATGGTGATTAATGCTCAAACCTTCTCCATGTGAGAAGAGGCCTTTGCTCGACAGTGGGCTCTGATAGCCTGATGACGACGAAGTAACAAATACAAGTCATCTCAATGATGATAGTGCGTCAACAACATCTATACATCCGTTTCCAACAGACGCCGTCGTCCGCGTGTTGTTGGCGCCTCGTTCCGTCACAGTCCCATTGCGACTCACAGCGACCCTCTCGTACACATTTACCTACACACTCCACCTACGTATCTCACCAGAATATTCACTGAACAAGATAATCAAACTTGGCATACATATCACTCAACCACAACTTTGTAGTTTATTTAAACCAGATTCGTATATTAGGAAGATATATTAGATAACAGATTACTATTACTCATGTAACATTTAATATTTAACTTATAGATGGTGTAATAATGATGATTTGACCTACAAATAACTTGAGTTTTATATAGATACTTGATATTTGAGTGTAGGCAAGAAGGTAATATGTTGAATAATACCCGGGGCTCGCCCACGTGACGAAGGCAGAGTGGTTTTAGGGAACTTTATCAACATATGTATACTTGATCTTTATTTATTTCATTTATACTACAATTTACAGTTGCCACAGAAACATAATGTTATCCTAGGCTTCAAACAACCATCATTTAGTTTAAATGAAACCAATATTTGTCAGATTACATACATACTCCCCACGTTTGGTTACTTTTCTGCAACCGTGTTCACGGGTAAACGAGATGTGATTGTAGTTTTAAAATAATAAAATACGCTCAGTAATCCGAATAACATTAGTTTCATTTAAATGAACACTCGCGAAAGTAGATCTCATTTTATCATTCAGCTTATTGTAGTGTGTATATTTAAATGGACTTTTAATTTCAATGAACATTAAATCCCTTTGAACATAACAGTTCAAATAATAAATGTATTTTTTAAACAAATTCAACCTCAGCTGTATACAATGTTAATATCCGCTTGTAATGCGTGTCTCTCTGTATGTACATACTTACCTACGTTTCACTCTACATACGGATTTTTTTTTTCTGTAATTGATTGCCGTTTTAGAGATCAAGGAAAACTGGCCGTTGTTAGATGCGAGTATGTCCAACGATTAGTTTGTAGAATTTCTCGTCGCTTTTTCAATAGGTAGGTATGTTTAGTACAATACTAGCATCTGCCCACGTCTTCGGTCGCTTAGAAGTTGTTTTTTTTAAGTCTAAACGACTTAAAGAATTGTTTTACATCCACAACTATATCACCAGTTTATAACAGATGGTAACTAAATTAGTTTTATAACTGCTTTCCTCAGACTGAAGAGAATGCTTTTAATATCTTTATATGTAAAGTTAATATTCCTTCCTGATTATACATATAGCAGTCGCGCGCTTTTTTAATATCGACTGGGTAGTACTTGACTCTCATTCCACCGGCTGATTGGAAGCAGTTAAGTAAATGAAAATGAAATGAAATAAAAAATGTTTATTAACAAAAAAAAAACACAACATTATACAAAGAAATGTCCGGTGGTGCTCACACTAGGTATTCCTGTGTCGTGGGTACCAATTGATAGATTTACATTACATGTTTAATGTTGTCGCTCGGCAGAGAATATAAATTACATAACTATTTAAGATACATTGCATAATTTAAGTTACAGGTATTCTTATGTTAGTGAAAAGGTACTATACTAGGTGCAAGAAAAGTTCTTCGGTGGTATTGCAGGTTAATGAGGAGAGCCAAGGAATAATTTTTGTTTTGGCTTGTTTAACAGAGCAATGTTTAATGTCACAGGCGTTAGCTACTTTATTATAAATAAAAGGCTCAATGAAGGGACTGAAGCGTCTAGCAAAAGAAGTCTTAATTATGGGCAAGGGGAGCCTATAGTCCCGACGTTTGAGTAAATTTTTGAAGTCTTTTGAAGAAACAGTTTTGTGATGAACTTTAAGTACTATTTTTAATATGTATATTTGTCGTACGGTTAAAACTTCGCTTTCCTGGTAAAGTTTGGTTGTTGAATAATCAAATGGTTTATTCAAAATCGTTTTGAGCACTGATCTTTGGGCTCGTTCAAGATGAATTAAATGCGTTTTAAAAAATAGAAATGAAGCTCTATTTCCTTAACAAATTATTCAATTTATCCTCAATAACACTAAAACTATAATTGAAAGGAAACCCACACAGACACGCTACATACACACTGTCAACATACTTCCGGTTTTTGCTTTGTAATTATTTATGGAGTGATCCAAAAAAAATTAGATCCACTTAGTCGAGGAAGCTTGTTCCTGGACATCGCCACTTTCCGATATATACAATAGGAGGTTCCAGAAAGTTGGACCGTCTGGAAACCTTTGTATGAGTATGTACCCTTTATTCCAATTCTAGTCTGCCTATCTGCTTAGCCTATAGGAGGAAACTACTTGACTATTACCAGCTAAGGACTAACTAGAGATGATGCTGTGGTATTCTTTTGCACTACAATTAAGTCAACATGACAACATGAGCTTTTGTTAGTATATAGTGGATATATATACCAAAAGCTCATTGTGTATCTAAAAAACAAAACAATCACGTTAATAGAAATCTTATTGTCACGAATATTTTGTATAAGGTCAGAGACAGATTCTACTAAAAACCATACTATGTGTGGAGGTTCACATGTGGAAAATATTTATAAGCCTTAGTCGACCGCTCGTGATACTAGACTCTTAATACTTTTACCAATATCAACCCTTTAATCTTTATATAAATGTCACGTCTCACTCGCGACACTCTGATTTTCCCGTACCTATATCGCCATCTCCTCTAGCACATATTCAGCACATACTCAAAAGAACTCGATATTCCTTGCTCCCTTTCCTCGATCACGGATCATTCGCTTGTTTCCCTTAATCAATATCAATAATTTTTCCTGTTCTCAACGAGTTTTGTCTACATTATCATCTTGTAACTCTTATTCTGTTTTTATTATAGAATCAATCATAGGTTGAATTGATTTAAAATATATTCTACATACTATAAAAGTAAATAAATAAAAACAAATCATAAACACAATCGTGAACAAATCTTTATTGGTGAACAATATATTTCACATACACACAGTAAGTAACGCTCCTCATTATTCGTACCCGTCCCACGCTGGTTCTTCTTTCACTCTAACGTTCTCTTCTCTATCGTATGTCTGTCTGCTCCTGTCTCCACTCCGTTCCCTCCCTCTCCCTGTCGCCTCATGTCTATGACGTCTCTTATCATCTCTATCTCTGTGTCTTCCTCGATCGCTGTTTCCATCTCTTTCTTCTCTCCTCGTGTCGTATTCGCCGTCTTTTTCCCTCTTTATGTTTCTGCCTCCGTCATAGTATCGTTGATACTCGTCAGTGTGATCATATCTTCTCTTCTCTTTCTCTCTCGGTTCATATTTCTCTCTGTATTCTCTGTCGTGTCGTCTCTTCTCCCTGTGTCCATCTCTACTGTTCCTACTTCCTCCATCATTCTCTTGTTTTATTTTTACGTAAGGTTTATCATTCCGACGATCACTCTTGTCTTTATGATCATAATTCGTGTTGTATTTTTCTCTTGATTCATTTTTATATCTGTGATCTCTATCGTTCTCATATGTTCTCTTCTCTCTACTTCTTCTTCTTCCATCATGTTCCACGTCTCTTTCTTGTTTTATTTTTATATAATCCTTAGTATATTGTCGTCGTCGGTCGTCGTGTCCATCATAACTTCTCTTCTCTCTCCTGTCACTCCTGCTTCTACATTCTCTGTCATTCTCATATTTTCTCTTTTCTCTGTGATCATCTCTGTATCGTGAACCTTTATCATCATTATCTTTCTCGTTTCTTCTGTAGTCGTCACCATTATCACTCTGACTATTTCTTTCGTTCTCAACGATTGTTTCATCTTTGCTCGCATTCTGTTGTTCATATAACAAATCCATCTGTTGGCAGAAACAATATGTAAGGTTAGGTTTGCACACCACGTTGCAGTCTTAAGGACATATAGTATCGACCTGTGAGTCTATGAGAGCCCGCAGCTCATCCTTGTAGCAGGTGACGGCTCGTCGGTGCTTCGCGCGGCGGCGGTGAGCGTCTCGGGCCGCGGCCAGCTGCTGCAGGCGAGACTCACCGGAGACTCCGCTCTCTGCAGACACCCCGCATGACCTAACATGGATAAAAAGAAAGTCATATGTCAGTATGGTAGATCAGTATGAAAATCATCAAGAATCTGGTCATATTAACAGAAAAGAAATAAATTCACTTATACCCTTGATCAACTTCACCAGTCACACCTAAACCATCACCTAATTCTTAGGCCTTTGGTTATCTAATATATAAATGTATTATCTTTATATATATAATTCTTATTTGAGTGTGTATGTCACTGAACTTCTCTCAAACGACTGGACCGATTTTGATGAAATTCTTTGTGTGTGTTCCAGGGGATCTGGGAATGGTTTAGATTCACAATTTTGTCCGCTACACGGAGATTTATGGCTTTAATAGGTAAACTTCAAAAATATAAATAAAAAAACATAATAGTTATTTCTTGATTATAGGGCGATACGAAGTTCGCCGGGTCTTCTAGTATTATATATATTAATTCACCCGGTGAGGTCCAGGTCGTGTGTGTGTAGTGTGAGCGGCGCGGCGGACACCGCGGCGTCGTGGAGCGCACGACGCTCATCAGCGGTGAAGGTGGTCTGGAGACGCGACAGAGACAACGGCACACACTCACACTGGACCACTGGGGTACTGCCTTGTGTAACGAGGAGTGGTTAAGGAAAAACGAACGGGGTCAATGACCTCTGACATTACAGAATACTAAAAATTAAAAATACACGTTTTGAAATAGTTTCCGAACCTCTTAACAGTTGAATCAGTTAAAAGAATTTATGAATTAAATTAAATCGGATACAATGTTATAAGATAAAACAAACTGGAGTTAGAATACGATGCAGATTTATGAATGGATCAAGATTTAAAGGAATGAGTGATCAATTGATGGTGTCAAATACAGAACTAACAATTTGTCAACAACTATCAAGAACTCTGGAAATAAAAACTATAAACCAATTGAATAACCACAATATATGAGAAGGGCAATCTAAATTAGTATCACTTTATTAGACTTGACATCATATTTTAACAATACCTAGCAGGCATAACTAATATATATATAACAAAAGAAGTTTCTTAAAGAAATACTTTCATTCAGTCATAGAAAAAACTCAATTTTAGGCAACTTGTGATATTTATAAAGGATACATTGATAATGCATTCCGTGTCAGTACCGGCTACCACAAAACTAACACTGTTGGCAGAGAACATGTTTAAACAAGATTAATGTGGTGTCGTCCATCTTCAACACTAATAAATAATACTTACTTCTCTTGAAAAGCGGATCTGTGTTCATAGCATAGCTTATTATGGCATTAATATTGTCAGCGGCTGGAAAATAAATTTATATATAAATATCTTATAACTTTACTCATGTTTTATGTTAAAGAATGTGTTTAACTTACAAAATTTGACAACGGTATCAGCATTAGGGTCCAAAGGTTCTGGTAAAAATAGTTCTTCATCATGATAACCCTGGGATTTAAGAAGACATTTCTCCTCGTGTTTACTTCTAGTATCTTCTGGTATTTGGTGGTTATTATTATACTTGCATGTCACCATTTTTTTGCTCTGCAAAGAAAATATTGGAATAGATTGGAAAACATGACTTTGAGTATATGTCGTAAAACATTTTACTTTGTCATTCATAGTTGTGGAATTGTTTGTATATCTAAGGAAAACACTTTTGTCACTGAAGATTGAAATAAATTGAAAACATCTGAAAGAACCTAATAATGTAAGAAATTCAGTTGTTGATGTTTGACAAAAACCATAAAATGGTAATAATTTAGTTGGAAGTTTTCTTATAATTTCTTTTTATCTATAACAAATTCTAATAAAGAGGTCTAAGACTTTTAAATAAAACTTTTTTCAGATTTTAATTTAACACTCCCGATGTTTCGAGTACTGTGTAGCAAACGTGATCATGGTTCGACAAAAAGAAAAAAAAAATTTTTTCATCTTTTTCTGATATCTACAATTTAACTCGCTTAAACAAATTCTTTGGGGCATTTAAAATTATTCCAGTATTATTAAATTTCTGTAAATCTTAAGAGCTTTGGTAAAAAATACAACTATATTTGACTTCTTAATAAATTAAATAATACTGTTCTAATTTTGTTTTTATTCACCTGCAATAAATGCTTTCGATCCCATTGCAGACTTTGTAATATTAAAGTAATATCTTTATCGATATCTTTAATATCTTCTTGCAAATCACTTAGTTGTTTTGATCTTAAAGTGATATTATCATCCATTTTTAATTTATGTTTAGTACAATTCTTGGCAGTGCTCTTTTATAAACATTATAATTACTAAAAAAATAAAAAACTTCTTCTTCTTCTTCTTCTTTAATTAGTGGCGTTTCCTTAGAGATTTCGCCAATGTCGTGTAACGATATTATACTGAACTATGTAAAGAGGGATTTGTGAGTGAACAAGGTCGCGACTAGAAGCTAAGAGCTAGGGTGGTGTTGAGGTCGTTCAGTGAATGCCAAAATGTTGATGTATCTAAAACAAACAAAAAAGACGCACACTATATATACAGGTGGTTAGTTGATTAAACGACACACATTCTACAGCTTGATGTTATTGAGGTTAATAAACGAACATAGAATATAAATAAAAGGGGTATTAACAAAAGATAGTAGGGATTTGAAGTTAATGGGACGGGGGATATCAGGGGGAAGGAGATCATAAAGAGAGGAAGACAGTCGAGGGCAAGTGAAAAAAATGTGATCAGCTGATCCTTCATCAAGTCCGCACTCACAGAGAGAGCTATCTTTTATATGAAGCTTAGCCAAGTGGACCGGGGTACACGCGTGCCCTAGGCGTAGTCTACATACTATGCTGGTAGCACGCTTTGGTAAATTTTTGAAATTACAAAACCAAGGGCGGAAAGGAATCGAGGTTTGGACATCCGCATAGTATTTACCCTTGGCCAGGGTACTGTTATGCCAATACTGTGTCCAAGAGGAGAAAAAACGCTGTCTTGCAATGGATAGCAAATCCGAGAGGTGAACCCTGAAGTGGTCCATACAACCGGTGTTAGTTGCATCTTTTGCATAGAAATCAGCGGATTCATTGCCGGGAATGCCACTGTGGCCAGGAATCCAAGCAAGAATGACCTGTATATTATTGTTTTGACAGCGGAAGAGAATATCTTTTATCTTTAAAATGTAGGGGAATTTACGTTTAGATATAAAAGGGTTCGTTGCAATGGACTGGAGGCAGCTTTTAGAATCGCTAAAAATAACCGAATTACTTATCTTATGGGACTCGACAAAACTCACTGCTTCTAAAATAGCTACAGACTCCGCAGAGAAAATTGATGCTTCAGAGGGGAGTTTAAAATTTAGAACAATATTGTACTTTGGGATCCAAACAGCAGCACCAGCTTTACCCTCGCCGGCCATTTTTGACGCATCCGTATAAATACAAAGCCAATCAGACCAATGCTCTTTTACGTAATTTTGAAATTGCACATTTGCAATAGGAGACCCTTTGTCAATGCCTAAATCAAGCAAGATTTGAGGATGGAAGTTAAGTACATCAAATGGAGTGACAAACAACGGGAACATTTGGGTCTGTAATATGGGACAAGGGAGACGTAGGAATGTGTCTAAACTAGTGAGGAGACAAGGATAGTCTTTATGGGACCAATACTTGTTAGAAGGGATGAGATCAGAGAGGGAGTTCAATTTAGGGATGAGGGGGTGGTTAGAAAATTGTATAACTTTTAGAAAGAAGCGATCACATAGCAGTTGTCTTCTAAGATGCAGAGGGGATTCACCACATTCCACTTGGAGAGCGTTGATTGGAGATGATTTCATAGCCCCACAAATTATCCTCAAGCATTTAGCTTGGATTTTATCAAGTAAACACAAAGCAGATTTTATAGAAGGAATAAGAAGAAAGGAACCGTAATCGAAATAACTGCGTATTAGGGCAATGTATAACAATCTTTGAGTAAAGGGGTGGCTACCCCACCAAACACCGGAAAGAGAGCGCAAAATATTAATATTACTTTCGCATTTTTTAATAATATGATTTATATGATGAACACCAGATAGCCTGGAATCCAAGCTGAACCCAAGAAACTTAACCCGATCCTTCACCATAAATTCTTGTTGTCTATAAGAGATCGAGATATGTGGAATAGATCTTCCACGAGAAAAAACTACCACTTTGCTTTTAGGAATAGAAAGAGATAATCCGTGACTATGAAGCCAGTCCTGAAGGTATGTAACAGCTAAGTTAAGACGTGAAGAGGCTTCATCACTTTTCTTTGCGGAGACATAGAGAGCCAAATCGTCAGCATATTGGAGCACTTCACAGAAAGAATTGACAGAGAGTTCTAGGTCAAATGTGTAAATACTAAAAAGCAACGGACTAAGGACAGAGCCTTGGGGAAGCCCTTTCCAAAGCTGTCTAGGGGAAGAATTATAATTAGGGGAACGAATCGAAACATATCTGGAAGAGAGAAGAGTGAGGATAATGTTTAGCAACCTCGCAGGGATACTCAGCTGGAGCATTTTCTGCCTGAGTACTGGAAGAAGGACATTATCATAGGCAGAGGAAATATCTAAAAACACGCCAACCACACATTCATTTTTTGAAAGAGCAATACGGATGTCAGTCAGAATTAAGCTTAGGCTGTCGATGGTGCCAAATCCTTTGCGAAAGCCGAATTGGGATTTTGCTAACAAGTTATTGCTCTCGACAAACCATTCCAACCGGTTTTTGACCAAATGCTCCAATATCTTGGCCATCGTGCAGGACAAAGCTATTGGGCGGTAGCTAGAGGGGTCTGAGTTGGGCTTTCCATGTTTCAGAATGGGGATGATCAATTGTGTTCTCCACTCCTCGGGAGGGGTACAAGCTAAGAAGATGTTATTGATGATGGATAAAAAAACAAGTTTCGAAGAGGTAGAGGACTTGCAAATAAAAGAATAAGGAATACCATCTATACCTGGAGATGAGTCCTTGAGACCCTCAAGGACAGTTGTAAGCTCTTCCCAAGAGAAGGGGGAATCAAATTTGTCAGAAGAATTACAATGAGATAATATGGGGGAAAGTTCTTCCAAGGATGGAACCGAGGGAGGAGCTAGTCTAAGGGAAAACTGGTCAATCCAGCCTGAAGGGTCATTAGCTGTAATGACAGCACTAGAAACAGAATTACGAAAAAGTCTCACACTCTTCCAAATTTTAGAGGGGGACGTGCTAGGAGAGAGTTCCTCACAAAAGCGAATCCAACCTGATCTTTTCTTTTCTGATAGCAGTCTGGTAGTCTGGGCTGCCACTCTCTGATAAGAGGTAAAATTCTCAAGACTCATAATATCAGAATAAGCTTTTTCTGCTTTGGAACGTTTCTCACACCACTCAGTGCATTCTGCATCCCACCATGGAGGAGAAGAGATTTTACCAGTGACTGAGTTTTTAAGAGGAAAGGAATTAGTCGCGGATAATAAGACGGAGTTTTTGAAAAGTTGGTACATATCAAGAACATTGTGCGTGTTAACTAAGGGGAATCTAGATATTTCTTGATCCAGATGGGATCTGTAAAGAGACCAATCTGCCTTAACTAGGTTAAATTTAAGGAGAGGGGGAAGAGTAGGGTTAGGTTTGGGGGAGGTAGGGTCAGGGGTGGAGAGGAAGATGGTAAAGTGGTCGCTACCATGAGAAGAGGGGAGAACAGACCAGGACAGACTAGGAGCTAAGGAGGGGGAGGATATTGAAAGATCAACTGCAGTATTAGGATTCTGGAGCGGGGAAACTCTTCTAGTGGGGGTACCATCATTTAAGATAGATAAATTTAGTTCATCACAGAGATCAAGAAAGGGTATAGCAATAGAGTCGGAGTAGTAACAGCCCCAAGAGGTATGATGGATATTAAGGTCACCCAAAATAAGGATAGGAGGAGAAAGACTTGAAATAATATGCTTTAACTCAGATAATAGGGCGAGGTTAGGGTTGGGAATATAAATAGAAAGGAAAGAAATATTCAGAGCTCTGACAGCAACTGCAGAAATGCCTTCACTATGAGAGGGAAGTGAAATTTGATGAAAGATTACTTTTCTAGAGATCAAAATGGCTGCACCAGCATAACCATCTGGTCTGTCATCACGGAGACAAGAATAGCCTGAAATTCTAAAGATGGAGCCAGGCTTGAGCCATGTCTCCTGAATAGCTAAAATAGAGGGATTATAATTATTAATAAGGGAAATAACATCATTTTTCTTATGGCGAATGCTGTGACAATTCCATTGAAGGATGATTGGCATTTTGAATAGTGTTAAAAATCTGACTGAGCTTAGATATGACATTGTTCGGTAGTTGAGAGTCATCGAAACGGGAAATTATATTTAGGATTGTGGATAGGAGGAGGTCTAACAGGTTATCGTTAGCTGTCATGTTATCTGAGGGATAAGCATTGCCATTAGGAAGACTGCAAGGAGGTGGGCGAATTATTGAATTGTGGGACTGTTTATCATAGCCTGGACTGGAAGCAGGAGCAGGAGGACTTTTCTGCAAAAAATGGGTCTGTCTATAGGAAATAGAATTAGGATAGGACTGAGGATAAGAAGGAGATTGAGCTGACGTTTGAGGTGATTGGACTACAATTGTAGAGGGAGATACCTGGGAGCGGGAAACATCTGCAAAGGATTTCCTAACCTGAGGGAATCTGACAGATGCTTCTGAGTAGGATATATTCTCTTGGGACATCACTAATTTTATTGATCTTTGTCTGGAATGCTCAGGGCAATTTGGATCAGTGGCTTTGTGGTTTCCGGAGCACAATAAACAGGTAGGGGGAGCAGATAGGTTGGTACAATTGATACCCGCATGGGGTTGGGCACAAATGAAGCAGCGCTCTTTGGATCGACATTGGGAAGCAATGTGCCCAAATCTGCAGCATTTGTTGCACTGTATTGTAGGTAGGATATAGGTTATGACTGGGAGTGATGTAAAATAACAAAAAACCCTGTCGGGGAGCTTCTGACCATTAAATGTTAGTACTACCGTTGGGGTGGGAGTCCAAACAGTAGTATTGTTGTCTGTGGTTTTTCTATTCAATCGACGAGCTTTTATCACGGCACCAAAGCCCTCGGGGACTACCAATGATGACACAACTTCCTCCAAAGTCCATTCCACAGGCACATTTCTTACTATACCCATACGGGTCACATTAAAAGTAGGAATAATTGCATTGTATTTGGATGTAACAAGAGCCGAGTGGTCCAGGAAGGTATTAGCCG